AGAGGGCCTAGACCCAACAGAGGTTGCCTGATCAATTTTGAGAGGCCGACAAAAAATGGAACCGAGACCATGAAGGATCCTAGGAGAGAATAGATGAGGTCTCAAATTCTGAAACGACACCCAAATAGGAACACTAGGGGATTCAACATCCACTTTAAACGAAGGCAATTGCTTGATCAGACGCATATAACAATTGTTAATAAAATACAAATGATGCCCAAATATATGGCAGTAATCCAAATCTTTCTCTAATTTAGTTAGGACATTCTTAGAATTGAGTACCGTAACAGAGAAATCTCCATTGAGTTTAAGATTGAAAAAAAAATTTCTAATAGCTTCAAGGGACGGCCGATAGGACAAAAACTTCCCAACCAACGCGAAATCAAACGGAGTGACAAGTGAAAAAATCTCAGCCTCAAAAATCCACAAAGAAGGCATCCCATGATGAGTAGAAATCTTCAAATCAGGGAAGGAAGAAACATTATCCGAAAGAGCATCTCAAAACGACTTAGAAGAAGATTTACCTGCAAGAAAACCGGCATCGACTAACTTAGAACCAGTCATCGAAAGCAACAAGCACAAGAAAGCACAGAAAAGGAAGAAGGAAGGCACAAGATGAGACGGAAAATCACTTCCCTGGCCGAAGAGGCGACGACGGAAGGCGCGAGCACAGCAGGAAACTAGAAATCGCCATGGAGGGTAAAACCCTAGCAGAGCGCAAGACTGGAAAAAAGTCTTACATTCTCTGCTATAAACTCTTAATATGGTCCACCTATTAGCTATTGATTCATCACGGTTAGCAGTTGCTATATTGATAGTCATTTAAACATTTGTCACTATTGTCAATCACAATTAATCTAAGACTTTATTTAAGACAGCTTTCTTACTACTTTCTAAAATAACTTTTAAAACTAAATTTTCTAATTCAAAAAATTTTTATACTAAAAAATCATTTAAAAAGTGATAAGAAAGCTATCCCTAATAGAGAGTATGTTGGGGATTTGAAGAACAATTGTGAAGGAGAAGTGAGGAGTCGACTCGATTTAGATTTTGTTTTTTTTTTGCTTTTGAGAGCGCAATTATAATTTCTATTTGGTAATTTTTTTTGTTGCTTTAAAAAAATTATACTAGAAAATTAATTTATGCAATAGTTTTAGACTTCATTTGAGACAGCTTTCTTAATTTTTTCTAAAGCAGCTTTCAAGAGATTTTTGTGGTAGAAAGCAATTTTAGATTTTTTTTAAAGAACATTTTATTCCATCAAAAAAGAAAAGTACAACAAGGGTCAAATAAACACAAAGACCGAATACATGAAAAGGTTACGATTGGGTAGACGGAGAAGATAAACATGGCACAAAAGCCAACCGGGCTCAATATTTGGCAAAGACTTCCAACCACTCCGAAGTTAGGCACAGACCATCCAGAGGAGTGAAAAAATAATAATCAACCAAAAAGCCACCCCAACCGCCAACACCGAAAAAATGCATCCAACAGAAACAAGAAGAAACACCACCAAATGTTGCCAACGAGCCACGGATCCAAAGCGGTGAGCCAAAAGCCACATCATAGCTTAAAAAATAAAAGCTTAACCGCAGAGCCAACAAAAGACCACATCCAGAAAAACCAAAATGTCACCAACAAAAGAAAACACAAAACACAAAATCGGCAGCCACCAAGCAAACCAAAAGAAATAGCTATTTTTTAGATTTTCGCTTTCTACGTTTACCCACCCAAACATTATCATTTCGCAGTATACCTTGCTGATCAAAAAGTTCCACTTCCTCAAACTCAGAAGAAGGAGAAGAACTTTCATGCCAATCAGTTATCTCAAACGAGGTCTTTAAAAAATTATTTTCCCTATAACACTTTTACAAAGTACTTAAAAACTATCATAAATAAAGCGTTAATTGGACATTAGAGGCAAGTTGGAACTTCGATTGTAATTTTTATCAAAAACAAATAATGTTCTTGCAATCTGTAAAAAGTCAGGCACAAGTAAGATCGATGGATTTCAGGTGCATCTGACGCGATCATTACGAGATGCATTATAGTACTGAATTTAATCGATGTCGCTGTTAGTAATAATATCAGTGGGCCACTAAAAAAAAAAAATCAGTGGGCAACTGAGGAATTCTTTGATTCTTGCTAGGATTGGGTAAGTAATTAGTATTAATTATCTGCATGGAATAGTAATTAAATACCATATCTTGCATGATATAAATATATAGCATGGATGTGACGACATGGGATGCATTTAAGAGTTTTGAAGTTGGTTGTACTTAGCCGAGAGTGCAAGATTCCAGCTGCTGCCCACTGCTTTGTGCCTGGTTTTGTGCCACCGGACAAAAGTTTCTGGCTTTTTTTTCTATGAGCACCCACAGCTTTAAGAATCAGGCTCATTAATATAGAGAGAGGGAGAAATATTTTAGCTATAAAAAAATTCAACACCAATCATTCAATCAAGATATCTAGAAATGCACACACTGTGTAAATATGCGTATGAAATTACAGTCTTGATTTAGAGTTACGTTCGAATTCTGTACGTGATAATTTCTTCAAAATATTACACGTAAATCAGAAGAAAAATTAAAAATATGCAATAGATTAAAATTTATATGAGTCTTATATTGACCTCGTGTTGAACTAAAATTCTTATCTATCTAGAATTCGAAGTAATTATTTAGAAAGTTGACGAATAGTATTATTAGCCTAGCAATAGAATGAAAGCACGCAGCTCATTTTGGTCTGTAGGTTGAGTGTTTTGATTATTAATCAAGTGATTTTGGATTCGAGTGTTGTATAAAATAAAATTCTCTCATGAAAGTAGCCACCTCCTTATGTTCCCTCAGAAATTGAGAAGCTTTGCCAAACCCGAAAACCCAAAGGGAATCATAAGAGCCCGGCCATGCACAGCTTAGAAGCTGGTTAGATTAGATAATAAACTTCAGCACAATTTCATTTTACAAATATGGTTAATAGTGGAGACTGATGTAAGTACGATCTCACCATTTTTTTAAGAATAGCTAGTTTTGATCTAAGAAATGAAATGTAGTTTTCTAAAACTGCTCTCATCATAGAAGAAATTAGTACGTGGCAGTGGATGTTAATTTGTTTTAAGATGCATGCAATTGAAATAGAGACCAATAGGAGAGAAGTTTAATGAGTCTTTTAAAATTTATAATTTGCTCCTTGGCATTAAAATTGCAACTTTAAAAATAATTGACAATGAATGTCTCACACTCTCAATTATGGGTGAAATTATTCTGTACGGAAACAGACGTCGTTCGAAAGTGAATTAGAACTCATCACATCATCAGTTTGCTATGTATCGCGGTTGTGTACCAATGTGTATCGGGTGACGGGCACGTTCTGATTCGCCTTCGGACGATCCGGTGTCCGCACAGAATAATTTCTCCAAATATAGCGAACTTAAGATAAGACGATGTTCAAGATTGTGACAAACAACACATCAAAGATCATGTTAGTTCTATTCCAATTCATCACATTTTACAAATTTGGAGTGCCCTAAACCTGTATTCTTATTGAGACGTGCTTTAGGTGCATTTGTACCCAACATATATGGGTTGGGCACCAACTAAAACTTCTTTTGGAACGGCTTTTTTACTGCTTCTTGAAATAATTTTTTAGTACTAAAATGCTTATTTAAGAAGCAGTAAGAAAGTCATTAAAAACGAAGCCTAAGAATCCCACAACATCACAACTTCTTATTCTAACTACCAAAAATATGGCTTGCAATTGGTCAATGCCTCACAATTTTATCCTACCATAGGAGATGAACCATCTTTGTGTTGATTTAACAAAATAATAGATGTTTGCAATCGGACAATGCCTCATAATTGTTTGGAGTAGATGAATATTTCATGTAAACATCGAGCTCTGCTATTATGTTTGTTGAAATTTCACGAGTGAAATGAGTGTGGAACTCCCACGTTTTTATCATATATGGAGAAATTTTTACAAACATGTGATAGACAATTCATATCAAATGAAACTCCTGAATAACTTTTATTTTTATTTTAGGGAACTTGCCCAAATTTCATTCAATTAAAAAGAGAATACAACCAAAGCTCAAAAAAGGACAAACAATAATTACAAAGCTATAATCATCAAATTAAGGAAATCAACCTAAAAAAGAAAAGGACAAAAAAATAGACATTGTGTAGGCCGCAAGAAAAGGGCAAGAAGGCAAAGATGCCAGCCAGACTCAAGAAATGACAGTAGGCTTCCTGCAACCACCCATAAGCCAGGCTAGGACCATCCATTGGAGTCAGCAAATCACAAACCAACCAGAGGATAACCACAAATGAAACAAATAGCATCCCACATCCCAAACAATTAAAGGCAATCAATTAGAACGATAGAATCAACCATGAAGGTTGTCAGTAAGCCAAGGCCATCCAAAGGGTGTGCAGAAACCAGCCTCATCATTGTGTGAATCTCCTTCAACAATCAAACAATACAAAAAGAAGGCTCACAATCGAAAAAACACACATGCAAGAAGAGGCAAAAGAACCAAGAGAAGGTCCTATCAAGAAAACAGATTACTTAGTTTTAAATTTTCTCCTAAAGAACTTGATGTTATATAAAATGATAAACTAGGGACAAAAAAAAATCTCATTAATTTCTGTTTGAATCATTCTAACACTAATTCCAAATTAGTTTGTTCGCTTAACTATAACTCGCATATTGCTCTTAATTTGAGTAAGAAGCCTAAAGCTTAATCTTAGAGAGATTTTAAATCTTCCACTAATCTATTAGACAAACCGACAGTAAGACAACCCGATATCTTGTCTTAATTACAACAAAAAATCCTCCAACCCACCGTAGTCTCTGCCCGACAAAACACTATTTTTTTTCCCTGACCAATCGCTTATATATATATATTTTTTACAAGTTTCTATTCTAAATAAAAAAACTAATATTCCCATTGTGTTAAGGAGATGTGCGGGTGGGTGAAGCTCAGTATTCTCCTCCTATAAATGCAGATCACCACACCACTGCCTTCTGCATCTATGGGCTTTGCTGCTGCTGCTGCTGCTTCTTCTTCTCCTCTCGCTCTCTTCTTCGAATGTTATCTATTAATTATTAACTGATGGAGACTCTGAAGAAACTTGGTTCTGCCTTACTCACTTGTACTTTTGCTATCGGTAATACCTCTCTCTCTCTCTCTCTCTAAATCTCATTTCTTCTGCTTCTTCTTCTTCTTCTTCTGCTCTAACCATTATTACCTGTTCTGGTTCTTGTTAATTACTTCAACAAATGGAAAACCAGAACTTAGCTTTAGCATTATGAATAAACTTGCCTTAATTTTGCTAAGCGCATTCTCTCTTTCTCTCTTCCTCCCTCTCTTTCTCTCTCTCTCTCTTCTGTTTATATCGCTAATGAAAGTATTTTGCAAGGGAACCTTGTTAGATGCTAAAATATAACGCGATTAAGGATTAATATTTAGTCATTTTTTAGATGGATTAAGCTATATTATTGTTAACGATATTATAATATTTTTAATATATGATTATTAATATGATTGAAAACTTTAATCATAACTAAATGCATATCATTAATCATAAATAGTACCACTCTATACAAGGCAGTTGTGAACGTAATTTTTCTAAAGATATTTATATTTGAATGAGCGCAGGTGGAGCAGGCATAGGGGCGGTGGCAGGAGCCTTGAAGGGGCAAACAACGGAAACGGGCATAGTGCGAGGTGCGGTTATCGGATCGTTCGCCGGCGTCGTCGTCGCCGTCGAGCTTCTCGAATCTTTCCTGCAAGGACTCCAAGGAGAGCTTCTCGAAAAGGTACGAGAGGCTGTTACCGTTACGTTTTTGGGACATATATAACGGAAAAATATTATAATTTCATTGAACTCTGCCGTCATTAAATTGAAGTATTATTATAAAATGCACGTGCCCCGGGGCGGATCCACTTTAGCATTATGTCATTATTTAGATAATTTATCTTCATTTATCTATTTTTTTTATTCTTTATTATAAAATTTTATAGCAAATTGTCCGTCCTAAAAATTTTAAAATATTATGATTTTTAGGCAATTGCCCGGAGCAAACGATAAAGAGGATTCATCATTTTATTTTTTAATTTGAATTCCAAAAATATCCATATAACCAAAAATTATTCTGGTGGCGCTGCCCCTAGAAACCCCTACAGCGGCGCCACCCCTTAGACCTCGACTTGATTGGAAAAGTAGAACCCCGCCAGGAGACTTTGCCCCCTTGAACCCACCGACATACTTATAAGTTTACCCCTCTGAAAATTAAGGCTGATTCGTGTGCAGTAATTAGTTGTACTTTAAAATTCATCATATGTATAAAAATTTCAAACTAAATAATTATATTTTATATTTATTATATATATATATATATATATATAATCAAAATAATTGCAAAATTCTTAAGAGCTTTTCAGATTTAACAAGTAAGTTAATCGGGGGGGCTGTGAGTTGTTCTTCTCCTCGGATATGAGAAATTCTATATAATTTTGTAAAATATTAAACTTTTATTTTTAAATTCTTTTATAATTATGTATATTATAAAAAAATTATTCTTCTATAATTTAGGTTATTTTTTAATCTTATTTCATTTAAAATCCTAACTCCATCACTGAAATCTGACCTAATTTAAGAGTTATTTAGAAGTTCTAATTGATAAGTAGAGTAGTCAGCAGAGCTCTGCATTGGGTACGCATACTCACACCCACCCATACCCAATGAGCATGGGTGGGTATGGGTATGCCCATAGCCTCGTGGATGGGTATGAGTGGGTACGTAACATCAGAGGAGAACCAATTTACATTATTGATCATCATATACATGTAGTATATTATAATAATCCTTACTACACAGTGCGCAACACTGAACCGCATCACGACCATGATAAATTTTGATATGTGACTTGATAGTTTCCAGTCATAGAAAATGGCAAAAAACCTCAAGGCCATTATTCTATGGCAGACTGCATTCAATAAGCTTGGAAAGTGGCTGGGTGTGGGTTGGTATGACATCCGGAAAGTCACCATATGTGGGTGTGGGTGGGCAAAGCCCGCCAGCGTAGACTGTAGAGCGTGTGTACCCTAGGGCTCTGGTAGTCAGTAGTCCAATCAATAACTCAATAGTTATGTAGTTTGTCTCATTCTAATTTAAGGAAGTAGATGGATATAATATGTGGGGGCATATTATGTCATTTTCATTATTCTATTTCATATAAGTCAAACAAAAAATTGAAAATTAATTTGGTTTTCCTCATTCTTTGCAATTAATATTTTTCAGATGGCCATATTTGGAAGCATCTTAAATGGAAAGGTTTTTCGCGAATGGGTGAGCTCTGCCCTACTCATTGCATACGAGGAGCAGGTGAATGATTGCCTGCCATTAATATTTTCGTTGCTGCCACTCATTTCACTAATCACTATTTGTATGAAAATTCTTAAAAAATCCATTGGGATTTAAAAAAAAAATGTTAGATTTAGGATTCATTTAGGATAACTTTTTTTATTATTTTCTAAAATAATTTTTTAGTACAAAAAAAATTTGGTTCAAAAAATATATGTACTAAAAAGCTATTTTAGAAATCAAGTTGTCAAAATTGAATTAAGCTTTGTTTATTTTATATTTATTGAAGTAAATTTTATCTTAATTCAATTTATATTAAATTCAATTTATGTTTAAATAAATTGAATTAAATAAAAATATTTTCATAAAATATATCTGAAGCAGGTCGGGTTCGGATCCGAAAAATCGACCCGTTTAAAAAACAAGTCGGATTCGGGCCATGTTAAAAAGTGTCTGGTTAGATTCATGTTCGACCCGAACCCAACACGAAACCTGATTTTGACACACAAATTAAAAAAAAAAGTGGTGGAATTCCAATTTTGTCCATATTTAAAACTTCTTTAAGGAAAATTATATCTATTTAAACCATTAATACAAATTTTAATAAATACTATTGGTGCTATTTATTACTTTATATAGGTTTAAACTCCCTATTTGCCTACACCCTTGGTGCAAGGTAAATCATTATGAATGTCTTTATTCTAATCAATAATATGTGATTTTTTTTTCTTTCTTTTGTTTAATGTCAAACTTAGGCTTCCTTTGACAGCTTTATTATCATTTTTTAAATCAACTTTTTAGTACAAAACTGTTTTAGAAAATAATAATAAAATTGTCACAAATGAAGCCTTAGTTGTCTGTATAACCCTTGCCAACCATTAAACTAGCCGAATTTTTTGTATGAACATCAAATATTAAAATTAATTAAAAATTTGAAAATTAATGGATTCGAATACGAGCGAGATAATTATGAGAAATAAAAATTTTTAATCACTCAATCTTGCCTTTAATCTGCTGATTTTTCAATAATAAAATTCGTTTTAAAAAGAAAATTTATTTTGAAAATGACTAAAATTATGATTAAAATGATTATCTAATTATGGTGATTCTAATGAAAAAAATATGAGGACTACATCAATACTATTTTGGTCTATTAACACATATCCAACTATTAAAATCCTACAATATTATAGGAATGGTAAGAACCCCCACTAGATAGCAAGCAATGACTAAGGCTTCATTTGGAACGGTTTTTTATTGCTTTTTAAAGTAACTTTTTAGCTTAAAAATTTTAATTGTTGTATTATAAAGCTTTTTCTTTGTGACGAGGAAGCACTATCCTTAGGCCAGTGTAAACCCCGGTCGACCTAGCATGCAACCCACACCAATTTACACGGGTCAACACTAAAGGCTTTCACTGTTTGCCAAGGGATTCGAACCAGGGTGCTGGGCTTTGCCCAGCCGGCTCTTCACCACCAAGACAAACAGTGGTGGGTTTATAAAGCTTCTTTAAGAAGCAGTAAAAAAGCCGTCCTAAACCAAACCTAAAATCACTGGCTATTGTTCCATTAAAATCACTTCAATTAGAAATAATTAAAGACATTGCATTGGCACATAGGGATGGCCAAAACCACTAAAAGGAAATTACTGTCTCTTAATTAAGATTGGAATTTTGGTAATGACTAGTTAATTATTGTTTGACATTGCTAATTAGTAATTCCCTTAGAAAATGAAACTTACACTTGACTTTGCTTTTCAGGTTACAGTAGAAACTAGCTATGTGGATACTTCAGATTTGTTTGACATCAGCAGAAGCAAGGGATTGCTTTTAGAAATGATCAATGAATTGCCAGAGTTCAATATCACTGGCTTGGAGTTTGCAGAGCAATGTGAAGAAGCTCTTTCATGTTCAATCTGCCTTCAGGTAATTCTATCTCCATTAACTATTAACTACTCTTTTTCACTTATTGTTCTTAATTAAAACATTCACACGCACATAACAAGGCTTTCAATAGGTTATTAATTATAATTAAGTAGGTTGGACAGACTAATTAAGGAAGTCTATTGCCTGATTTCTTTGCAGGATTTCAACTGTGGAGAAACAGCAAGAAGGTTGCCAACTTGTGGGCATTTTTTTCACTTGCTTTGTGTGGATAAATGGCTTGTAAGGCATGGTTCTTGTCCTTTGTGTAGAAAGGAAGTCTAGGCAAAATCTAGTAGCCATGCACTAAGCACTTTATATTTATTAAAAAAAAAAAATCATTAAGAACTCTTCTGATTTCCTTAAGGATAGAGTAGCTTTTATGTTTCTTGCTCATGAAGAGATGTATATTTGTTTTGAACTCTTGTTGTATTTGCTAATATGTATATATGAGAGCAATTTGGATTATGATGAGACTTGGTAATTATATATTTTTGCTTGATAGGAGATATTTTAAGAAAAAAAATATTTAAAAAGAAATTTTAACACTTATATAAAAAGCTTTTTAAGCTTCTGATTGTCATTTTTAAATATATTTTTTGTCTCCATTTATTTAATTAAGAGTGAATCTTGAACCAATTGGATTGGGAGAGGCTTATCGGATTTTGTTTGGATTGAAATAAATTTTTCAAGATCTAAGTTGATCTATATAGATTTTATAAGATCAATCATAATCTAATTAGAATCTCATCACACTTCACAAATTTTTATTTATCAGTAATTATTAATTTCTATTGACAAATATTACTTTTTAAAATACACAAAATTATGAAATGAAAGAAAATTATATTTAGTATAATTTTGATTTGAACGAGCATTAAAATTATTGAATTTATTTAAAAAATAGTACTATATTATATATATATATATATATATATATATATAATCTAATATTTTTCACAAATTTTTTTTTTTAGGAAGCATGTATTTTTCTAGCTAATGTTCAAAACGTAGTACCTATGAGGAATTTCTTTTGTTATTTCTACCTTTAATGCATTATAAAAATGTCATGTGACACTTTTAGTATTAGCTTTCTTTTTTTTTGTCCTCCATTTAAGAATATCTTCTAATAGAGATTAGGATATTAAAATTATTAATATAGCATTAAATTTCATTTTTTTCCTATCTCTTAATAGAAATAGCATTAAAATTATTAAAATATAAAAATATGTACAAGTTTCTATTTACTATTAACATCTCAAAATCTAAATTGAAATGAATTATATCATTAATCAACTTCTAGCAATATCAACTAGAGTCACTAATATCATCTAGAGCATAAACATTTTTTTTAACACAAAGAGATTTTATTAAAACAAACGGGAAACGGTTACAACAGCAGATGACTCAAAAATAAAAGGACAAAGACAGATAACAATCTAAATTGGGCTCAGTGCACGGCCGAGGCTTCCAGCACCCCAAAACCTCGCACGGACCATCCAATCAGGTGAAGTCAGCTCTCCCCAAAAAATACAGACTCAACGACCAACACCAGAGGTTACCACCAGCTCGACGACGGTGGTACGAGCCCCGGCCACATCATAGCCCCCAAATAAAAACGACAAAATTCTAGCAGCAAGCCACCCCGGAGCAAAAAAGAAAAAAAAATCAAAAAACAACAGGATCACCTTCTTCTACGGCCCCTCCCACGAGAACGACCATAGGAGGCAGCCGAACAAACCGGCCTATCTCATGAAAAAGAAAACTCGTTACCAGGATCAGATCCACCACAGAATTCCGGAGATGTCAAGCCACAATCCGAAAATTCAGATTCAGTTACTCAGTAGAACCATGTAGCCAATCCACATGGTTCCTAATATCAAAACCTGAATTTTCACCCAATTGATTGGCAAATGACCGAGTATCGACCAAATTTACAGGAACATCAATCAGATAATTAGAGCAGGTCGCCGTAACATTTAATTTGCCCACCCTCTCACTCTCAACATTAGATACCACATTCACCTCCGGTAGCACAGGACTCTCGACTACAGGCGTATCGACCACATACACATTATTAACAACCACAACATAGCCCTCATTAATAACAAAAAAAAAAAAGGGATCCTCAACCATCCCAACAGTAACAGGAGGCTCCAACGCATTAGACGAACTAGCCAGACAATCAACAGCGGGCAAGACCTCATCCTTCCCAACAACAGAGGCAAGGCAACATCCGCCTCAGCATTAACATTAATGTCACAAGCCAAAACTCCTTGATCCGAAACAAAATCAACATTACCCGCAATATTATCACAAACATGAATAGCAATCGGGACAGAGGAAGTAACATGGATACTAGAATTCAATAGGGGATTAGACACAGAGGCCAGCGCCTGGGGGACAGAGGTAACTACCAGGAGCAAATTAGGAACAAGCTTAGGACATTCCGATTTCTTATGACCCACAGCTTTGCATTGTTGACAAAAATTAGGCACTCCCTCAAAAACGACTTTCTGCACATACCCCAACTTATCCGGTCCCAACCAAATGGAATTAGGGAATGATTTAGTAACATCAATTTAAACAAGAACACGAGCTACAGAGGGACGGGATCCATATGATGTGGCATTATCAGTTTGTATCGGGCGTCCTAAAATCGAACCCAGCCCAAAAAGAATACGGGAAGAGAAGAGGTGAGGACATAAACCCGGAAATGAAAGCCAAACATGGACGATTGGTGATTCCTCCGAGAGGTCTAGAAGAGGAGACCATTTTATAACTTTCATGAAACAACCATAAACAAATTAGGAACGATGAGCAAAAACCCTACCATAGTCCAAATCATTAGATAGCTTGATTAACACATTAGCTTTATCCAACAGAGTTACAGAAAATTTCCCAGACAACTTCAGATTGAAGAAAAACCTACGGATAGAATCCAACGGTGATCGTTTAAGAGGAAATTTCCCCACCAGAGCAAACTAAAATGGCTTAGCAAGATGCAAAAATTCATCTTCCGAAAACCACAATGCCGACATACCTCGAATCGAAGAAATACGAAAATCCGAAAAACATTTCGACTCATCGGAACCAGATAAAACATCTTTGAAAGATTTAGATTGCTTACCCGCCAGGAAACCAGGGTCTAACAATTTTTTTTGCCATGGAAAACATACCGCCGTAGGCGAGGAAGGCGAATGGAGGCGGCTAGGGCAAAAGCCCTAAAAGGGCGCAAACCCTAGCAGACAAAAAAGTGGGGACATTTTTTTGAGTCAAACATCTTGACCATCATGGTTCATCTATCTAAAAACTTAAAACCAGAGCATAAACATAAATACATTAGTATTCATCTGATATCTATAACTTCATCCATAACAAAAAATAATAAATATAATAGTCATGATATTTAATAAAAATAATTCATCACTAAAATACATTATGATCACAAAATAAAGAACTAACAAAAACATAAGAAAAGCCTAAACTTGTCGCTTAGATCAATCTCACTCCATTGGTTCTTTATCTTTACCTGAAACTATGAGAGAAACATAAAAGAATGCATGAAAGAGTGATAAAAATATAATAAAATAAAAGCTTGGCTCTCATCATCATCAGAAATTTACAAAACCTGAATGATAAAATTAAATAAATATAGATGTGACCTAATAGGCATATCTTCTTATATGTGAAGAAAAATAAAAGTATTTGATTATGATAGATTTCGATCGTTGGAAAGACCTTTTATCAAATATAAAGGGCTTGAGACATATATCTTGAATAATTATTTTCTCCTAGTCATACCTTGCTTACCAAATACAAATAGATCATCAGAAGAGCTTCATCATGCATCTTTGACTTACCATCTTCACTAGTAATCACTGATATATTTGAGTTTCTTTTAATTGGGCGCTTTTATAAGTTTTCATGTTGAAGCAAACGATCAACTTGCATCCAAGGAGTTAGTTGAATGAGTGTAAAGTAAATGCATATGAATATATTTTTTTTGCTTGAAGTAACATAAATGCGGTGTAAAAGCTCAAATATGATGGTGTTAGGTAGTTGGCGAGTAGCGGCGAAAGATGAGTGGTGACAGACGACTATGGCTGTCAGTGGGAAGCTGCAGTAGGTGTTAGCGGCTAACATTGGCCAACAATGGGGTTAGCTGTTACTGGCCGGTGGCATCAGCAGGCGATAATGACAAAAAAATTATGATGTATTTAAAATCATTCAAATATAAAGAATTCCATACATCAAAATTATAATAGAGTGCAATCTAAATACGCTAAAATTTTACTTCAAACCAAACATCAATAGTTTAAAAATCCCTACATTTAAAATATTTTATACTCATTTTTCTTGACACCAAACAACCCCTTAATTAATTTTATAAGGGGCAAAACTCATCAACTCAAAACTTGTCAATCTCAATTTTTTTGGCCATTGACATTCAAACTATAATTAGATACATATATGTTGCAATGATAGCACCAAAATACAATGTTAAAGTGTCACTATTATCGAGTAAGATGGCCATCTTTCTCTATCAAAGAGGCTTAGCTACCATGAAAACAAAATCAAAGAAACAAAAGGAACCTTACATCCTCTAAATTAACAACATAATTGGGATCCCTTCATTTAATTTGTTTAGCACTTCTTACTAAAAAAAAACAAAAAACTAAAAAAAAAAAAAAAAACAAAAAAAAAAAAAAAAAAAAACAGAGATGAGGATGTCCTCAAGTCAACTAGGCTGTCCTTTTATCTCTGACGATAACTCTTTTACATTATTGATCAAATGTTTTTTTCTTTGGATCAATTTTCATACATTTCTCGCACAAATATAAATCATGAACTCATAAACCATTTTTTTAATGATAAAGCCATACTATGCCTACACATAAAATGATTATTTCTCAATTTCTTGTATAATTAATACATAAGTATTGTTGCGGGCTAGAATTTGCGTAGCAATAGAGTTGTAATTTTACGTCTTAGCGTTGCACGGATAGCCAGCTCACACACAGAGAACACAAGATTTTTTACGTGAAAAATCCTGGGAAGGGGAAAAACCACGGGGCCTAGCCCAGCTGAAAATATTTCACTAGAATTTGAGTTGAGTACAGCGAGCTGACTCGTCCCAGAGGGCGATCATATTACAAATGTCAACCGTATGGTTGAAGGACGATCAGATTACAAATCTCAACCATATAGTTGAAATCTAGTGGTAAATCTGGCGTCACTTAGAAGTTGGGGCGTCAGTTAGTTGTCTGACAGTGACTTGGCAG